CCAATAAACTTACCAGTTTGTCATTCCCTGGCTCATGCTGGGCTACGAAGCGACAAGAAGGTCTCTTTGCCGAACGATGATCATCTTCCTGGTCATAACCTTGCCCATCCTGGGGGGTTGGTCTGTGTTCTTTGCGATCGATATCTACCGCGTTTGGCTCGTCATCTGGCCGTTTCTAGCGATCTTGCCTGTGTTCGCGATCACTCTGACAACGGTTATACTGGTGCTGGGAACCGTATACCGACTTGATTTCAAGCGTGGTTTGCCGCAACTCAGTAGGTCTCCCCTTTCAGCGTATCCGTGTCGTTGCTAACGCGTATTTTGTTCCAAGTGGGCCATTGTGCGCCAAAGGACGGTTCAGTAGCGATCACAACCCCTCCACGAGACCTCGAACAGGGAATCCTGATCAGAGAAGAGAAGGTCCCCGAGGGTGCTCCTTCACTGAAGGTTCAATTCGACATTCCAGCATCAGCCTCGGATAAGTCGGTGGAGGTTGTCGAAGGGCCGTCAACCGATGATACGGCGCAGCAGAACAACGACATATGGACGCCAAGGCGTCCAGAACGTTCTAGTAGATGGACACCCGGGATATTGAAAGGTCTTTTCAGGAGTAGTGGAAGCACCATGACCCGCGATCGCATTCAACCTTCGTTGACTTCAAGCATCTTCGGTCCTGGTCCGCCTCCCTCTGTGCAGTCCTTTTCAGGCAGCGGAACAGCGCCACCTTCGAGTTATTTGGCATCTGTTCGAAATCAACCCACAAGTCCTCATTATACCGACTCTTCGGTAGATCTGTCGGACCGTGGACCGAATCGGGCTCCTCGGAGGCCTGAGCAGCCGAATGTTCCGCCGCGACCAGCGCGACCGGCGCGCTTGAGGCTACGAGACAGCATCTGGACAGAAGGAAGTGGTAAAGAGAGTGATGGAGAAGCCGCACCTGCTGCGAAGCAGATTTTCCGACGAGGAGCAGGAGGGCCCGGCGGTCTTCGCGTTGCCGGGAGGTTCGCACTCGGGTTGAAGTGATTCCCTCCAAGAACTTTCGCCCCATTCCTTCACCCGTAATTTGTATTTTTGTCAAATAGTCCTTCGTTTGTACTCCCTGTTATTGTTTCCCAACCCCTCCTGTCATTTTACGTTAATACGAGCGTCGAGCTCGCTTTGCCACAGCCACTCTCAGTTTGCGAACAAAGTGAGACCAAGCAGGAACAAACCGTACCGACAGTGAAACCGACCCAACCACCTCCGCGTCCAGCCTATGCCTACACCTGTTGCAGAGGCTCTTCCTGGTCAACACATCTTACTATCATTTCTCGCTACTCAGAGTCAGATCTCCCTTACACGGCTTTACAGCAAGCCTTCAGCATGCCTCGCGCTCTTTAGGTTGGTGGCAGTCTGGTCCGCGTTTAAGTCTCGGCGTGGAACTGAATCGAGGACCCCACTTTGTCTCTGTCTAACTCTCACCCACTCTAAGACTGCTCAATGCCCTTGAAAGGCAAATCATTATGAACTACCTGTGGTTGGAGGGCCCTGTGTCGTCGAACACCATGGATGTGTGGGTCACTAGAGACGGCCGGGCGTACGTTGCTAGACCACCTCCAACATCAAACCGCTTCTTACGCTCGTCGAAATTAGGTCCTATGAAGCTGCCATGAAGACTCTTGCCTCCTTGCAAGTCCTCCCAGCTCCCAAGCCCGGCTCAAACATGCTACAGCTTTCTCCCTCATTCAAAAAGAATTTCCGGTCGGCTCTGACAGGCGGCGGGGAACACATGAGCTTTGGACTGCCCTGTGAAAAGGATCCAGCGGCTGGCGTAACCGTCGAAATGCTGGATCGTTATGCTGCAAACTGCTGGGAGGTCGGTACTCGCCTGCGTCATGTCCCACCACCTTGGAAACGCCCCGGCTAACCGCGATCCCTTTAACCCTACCAGTCTATCTTACACTTCATGGTGTCATCTGGTACGGATGGTCGAGCCTCTAGGCCCACCAAAGGCATTTTGTACCTCCTTGACCGAAGCGGCCTCATGGCGTAGGTTCATCCCTCGCGCCAAAATCCAACTCTTAGCTCACGTCCTACCAATTGACCCAGCGGCCAAGGCGCCCCGAAAATCACGTCTCAAGGATTTCAATTTCTTCTCACATCCCCTCATGCTCAGTTATGGACACTGCTTCTACAATACCTGGCTATCACTAATGTGAGCAACCGAATGGCATAGCGTTTGAACCCCAGATGCTGAAAGTGATTAGGAACGAAATATCGACATGGTCGAAGTGATCCAATTCTTATTTATGCTGTCAACCATGCAGTTAGGTCAGGTAAATATACATCAATGTTTACTTCGGGCTCGAGCTCGCTGACGAATCGTGCGACATAGGAATACTCGACTGAACTGTTTTCGACCACATACCAGAGTGTCCTCGAGGATCTCATAGACTATGGCCTCGTTTATAAACGCCAACCAAATAGAATCTATCCCACTCGACTTGCAACAACGCTCACCTCTGGTGCATCCGCCACGGCATCCTCTTCTGCAGTCTCATCCCAAGCACAGACGGGCGCGGGCATCAGTGGTACTGGCACTGTAGCAACCGCAGGAGGAGGCTTCATTATTCTCGAGACGAACTATCGGTTGTATGCTTATACCGGTACGAATCCAGGACGCCACTTCGACGGGGAAAACCTCTCCATCTGACGTCGCTTTGCTGCCCCGCATTAGAAAACCCACTTCAAATCGCCATCCTCAACCTGTTTGTCAGCCTTCGCGGGCGATTTTCCAATCTCGTAACCGGCTCTATCACTCGAGAAAGTGTGAGAAAAGCACTAGACAACGGCATCACGGCCGACCAGATTATCAGTTACCTTGTCACTCACGCTCACCCTCAAATGCACAAAAATGTGAGTCTTATTCCTTTGGAAGGGTTCACGTTATTGCTGCCGTTGAGCTGACCTCGTTTCCTTCGTCCTAAGAATCCCCTCATCCCCATCACTGTTCAAGACCAAATCCGTCTTTGGGAGCAAGAGAAGAATCGAGTGCAGATTGCTGAAGGTTATCTCTGGAAGGAGTTCACGGCTTCTACCGATTACAATCTCGTTCTAGAACATGCCAGGAGCACCAGCAGTGTCGTGTGGGAGAATGAGCGGGCGAGGATGTTCTTCGTGACTCCAGATGGACACGCGAGCTGCAGAGATTTTGTGAACCAGAGGATGAGAGAGGGCGGGGGTTTTGCTTGATTAGAGAGAGTTGGGGATGTTGCTAGCATAGCATTTACTGTAGGCAGTGTACTCATATGTCCTGGTCGAATGTAAGACGGCGGATGACTGTCTTACTCTCGTTTTGCAACCAATACGCATCCAAGATCTCGCACATTCCTAGAAGTAAATCGTACTACTAGGCTAACCAATCAAACAATCTATAGGATAAGGGGGAACATAACCCATCTCTTGGGATAATCCTTGCCGAATTCCTTCTTGTAGTTCTTGTGCTTCTTGATCGCCCAGAAAACCATTTGAACGGTGCCCACGACAGTGAAGATTGCGACTAGGAGCCGGAATCATGACTTCATTATGAGATCTTTCGAGGGGAAAAAGGTGTTATGGGATCATACCTGCAGGGTCCAAGGTAATGGCACAGACGGTGCTCCACGCCAGAGTCTCGAAGGTGTAGTTGGGGCAAGAAATCCAGTTGAAGCCGTATCCGTAAGGAATGGCGCGTTTGCGAGTGCCTGCGGGGCGTAGGTTGCGAAGAATAAGGTGGCAGAAGAGGTTCGAAAGCTCGGCGAACTAGTGGGATTCCAAGACTTCGGGTCAGAGCAAGGCACAAAAAAAAGGTTAGAGCAAAGATACGTACAGCCCAAACTCCGGCTAGACAGTTCAAATACACTTCATTGTCTCGTAGAGTTCCACTGATCCTTGAAGCAGAGTACCATGGTGCGAAGGTCGATGCAGCGAGAAAAAGGCCTAGTGAGACAGAAAGCTTAGCGGGCGATTCCGATGAGCTGGTTAAAAAGTATCTTACCGCTAAGGATCCAATAGTGCGCAGAACTACCAGCGGTGTAGATGTTAATGCCCAGTTTCCCAACCCCGGGGGGTGGCACCAGGGACTCACTTTTTGATAATGTTGAAGGCTGGCATAGTTGCATGCGAGAAACGGTGCACACTACATAATACCCGCAGTTAGTGCTTGATTCTTTGGCATGGGTGTTGCTCGGCTCACAAAACGGTTTCGAACTCTCGTTTCAAATAATGGAGCATTACAAGCGCGTATACCAACCTGAAACAACAGGGAAGCACAGTCAACTAGGACGTTCGCTGCGAGCAGAGCCTGGTCTCACGTTTGCATTCGAGAGTGCTTGAAGGTACCCTGGCCATATATTTGAGGGAAGTGGTAGAATATTGGGACGATGAGTAGCGGGCCGAGCTAGATGACGAAGGCTCGTGAATATCGACTTGCGAATAGCCGACGGAACAGAACGTAGAGACGCACATATTCCACCATGAAAACGGTCCTCCAGCTGACTTGAGGACCGAGGTCCTTGAGATATAACGTAACATTGTCGTTCAGGCTAGAGAGGGCGCGGTCGTCCTCCAGAACCTCTTTCGATTCTAAAGAAAGCCGCTGACGGGTGAGAGGAAGCTATCAAAAAGCTCGACTCAGCATACACGACACGAAGAGCGTGCAGCTATTGAAATACGAACGCGAGGGAAATGTCGGTTAAGCTCCTTTTTGACGTCAGCAATCGTGTCGGTTGGCTCGAAGGTTAGGGACAGAGGAAGAGCTTTGGCAGTGGGAATCTTCTTCCCATTGGCGTGGTCGATTTTGAAGGTAGGCATGGTCTAGAATAGATATACAGGAGTCGTTGGTGTGGCGGTCGTAGTCAAGGAATGGAAACGTCCGAGGTCGAAAAAGTGCGGTCCAAAATACAACAGGGTCCTCAGACCATACCGGGAGGAAGACTCCGGCAGCCGGAGGTTTGCACAGACTTGCGCAACGGTGCAAAAAGCGACACCTACAGGATTTGAACCTATGCGGGGAGACCCCAACAGATTGAACTAATTCGAGTCTGTCGCCTTAACCACTCGGCCAAAGTGTCTTAACTGACCATATGATCGGTGTAATTACTGTGTCCAAGGTGGTGGGGGTGATATTCAGGCACCGCCGTGAAGGGATTCGAAATTTGGGTTTTGACCGCACTCCCGACCTTGCCAGCGGCATGCAATTCTCGGCTCAATAGACTGCCTCTCCTTTCCTATCCTTTCGAAGCATACATCACCTCTAATCTGCATAACTTCAATTGGGCGCCAGGTCAACCTCAAAGAACTGTCCAAATGGCGTTAGCCCCAACGTCACGTCGATCCTGGCGTCGTCTTACAAGGGTCCTGATATTCATCACCTTCGCTCTCGTCTGCTTATACTGTTTCTTTGAATCCCAAGACGGCCAGGTCCCAGCATGGACCGACCCTGATGTCGAAACATCTACGGCGACCCAACCTCAAATTAGGAAACCGAAGACTCCAAAACTACGACGCGAATGGACGGAGCTTTGGGAAGCTAAATCCGATGGCAAACTCGTTGTCCCAATCGACGAGAAAGGCAATGCGATCTCGAAGGTTGGATTCACGAAGCATCCTCTACTCGACCTTATCGAGGAGGCGGAGAACAAATGGAAGGCGACTGTGAAGCGGTGCGTGAATGCTTTGACGCTTTAAAGGTTTAAATATGCTGAAATTCTCTTACAGGCAGAGCAAGACTCTAGAAGAAGCCGTGCGCGAATACGAACGCCGGTATAATCGTCCTCCCCCGAAAGGCTTTGACCACTGGTACAGATTCGCCACTGATACGAATGTCATCCTGATTGACGAGGCGAGTCCAAAGTCCAAGCGACATTCAGGCTTATACTTACTCTTCTAATATGGCTTTTCGCCGCCTGCGATTAGTTTGACACAATCAACGCAGACATCACACCTTTCCTCGCCCTGTCACCCAAACACATCAAAGAACGTCTTTCACATGCTGCAAATCGTTTCGACACGTTCCATATCCGTATCGAGAACGGATTCGCTAGCGTTGCGGAAGCAAAGAACGACGTAGAACAATTCAGAGCTCAAGATCTGGTTGAACTAATTCAAGACTTTGCTGAGTTCTTGCCGGATATGGTTGTCCACGCCAGTATACACGACATGGGCCCCAATATCTTTGGCGATGATTTTAGAGCTGAGGTTGGGCGACTATTAGACGAAAAGGCTTGTGAGTAAGAGCATCCTGGACTTCGTGATATATTGCTGACGTTTTACATATGCCTTTAGACATGCCCTCAAAGAACCTGACCACGTTCGAATCCAAAGCCAGGAACAACCGGCATAATGTCACAAAAGCCTGTTTCGACCATGCTCCGGCTGTCCTTCTGGAACAAGAAGGAATCCTTTCACCTCCGCCACCTAACGATACTTGTAAGTGTGATTCTGCGCACCTACATCTAGCTTTCACTTACCCTAACTTGCTCCGTTGCCTGCGCTCTTTTCGAAGTTGAGTTCATTTACTCCCACCCCAAGACATTCAACTTCTGCACAAATCCATCCATCCTCTCTCAGAATGGGATCTTCTCCGTCCGGCACGCGCGTGAAAGCCACGTCCTCCCCCTATTCGTGCAATGCAAACTCCAACAAGGCGGAGACATTCAGTATCCTTCCCTGGTTCAGTGGCAGGACCCACCCGCACCCGACAAATTGATCCCATGGCGGGAGAGACCGAACAACAAGCTCTTTTGGAGGGGCAGGATGACCGGAGCGCATTACAACAAGCAGTACGGATGGCGACATACCCATCGGTTCAGGTTGCATGAGCTGGCATGGAATGAGACATTCGCAGAGGACGAGGTGGCGGTGCTTGTAGACGGTGATCCTAAAACGCGGAAGCCCCTCAAGCGAAAGTCGTTCAATAGGGGGTGGTTGAACGATGCGCTCCTTGATGTGGGACTTGTCGGGTAAGTATCTCCTCTTACTTGAAAGGTCAAGCTGGAAGGTTGACAATTCCATGGTCTTGAAATGCTCATCTCAGCGATGTCTTTCAATGCGATGAAAACGATGGAACCTGTGATGAGATAAGGACGTCCATCAAGACCCTCGAGCCAATTTATGGAGCGGGACAACGCGCCAAGTATGCTCTTGATGTCGGTGCGTGTCTTTCAGCCCTCACCGTTGCTTTGACTTCGACATTGCTAAACCTTTAATGTACTCAGACGGGAATGGCTGGTCAGGCCGCTATCAAACTTTACTAGCCTCGGGAAACGTCGTTCTCAAGGCAACGGTGTTCCCAGAGTGGATATCCGACTGGCTAGTCCCTTACTATCACTTCGTGGTATGTCGTCTTCGCGATCCGAAACTGCCACCACTCACCCTCAGCTTTCTGCAGCCAATCCAACATGATTACTCCGACCTCTATTCCACCATGGTATTCCTCGCCGGTTACCCAACAACGTCAACAGATGGCGAAATGATACTCGAGGGTGGTCACGAAGATCTCGCCGAAAAGATCGCTCAGCATGCACTGGATGCCAGTCGCTCGCTCTGGAGGTGGGAGGACATGCAGGCCTACATGTTCAGGTTGCTGCTCGAGTACGCACGAGCGATGAGTTCCGATCGTGATTCAATGGCATACAAGCCGACACGAATGGAGAGAGCACCGTGAAGGATGATTTGGATACCGAAGACAGCTTGTTTTTGGATATTCTTGGAGTCGGTTAGCCCGCTCTAACCCTAATACACTATCGATATCACCGTTTAGTCGCATACATCTTGTATATTAGCATATCGCGTCATTCCAGAAGTTTTCTTATGTACACGATTCTTGGGTGGTTGGTTGAAAATCGATAGCCTCGGGCTGGCCGGATTTTACCGTCGAGTTCAACAATAACATAAGCCAGAAATATCACAGCAAATAAACAACGGCTTCCAGAGTGAGCTAAACTTAGACGGTCATTTTAACAGTGAGAACCCGAGAAACGAGCGAGTTGCAGCTTGAGACGGAGTTGGTAAGCCCTGAAGAGCCCTGAAGGAGGAAATGGCCTGAACTTCCTTTACAGCGCAGAAGTCAAAGCTGAAGGGAAGTAAGGGTTGAACCTTCCACCGCCGATACCCTCGACCCCTGAGGAGGCCTTAGCAATTGACCGCGTCTCCACCACCGCAGCTGTGGTAGGCGACAACGGTTGAGGAACAAACCAACCCGGGGGAACCACGCCATTCCCATCTCGCGCGGTAGGCTGACGACCTGCATCAGGGATCATGTCCAACGGAACTCGCCTAAGTCCAAGCCCGAGCGGACTTGATGCAAAAGGCGACAGAGGTGGCGAGGCTGACCAGCGCCGTTTGAGAGAAGGCACAGTCGCAAGGTGGGGATGATGGCTGACGGGTAAATCAAAAGGAAGGAATGGACGTCCGGTTGGTGTAGGACTGACTGAGAGGAGACCAGGCGGTGTTTTGATGTGTGGTGCGATTGAGTGGTGAATGCTGGGTTGCTTAACGATTGGGGGACGGCAAGAAAAGGGTTCAACGATTTCCGGCAAAGGAGCGAGGACTGGGGCTTCCGGTGAGAACGGAGAGGAAGAAGATAATGGAGGAGGTTGAGATGTGCGTTTGGATTGAACGGTTGTCGTAAGGGGAGAGAACAGGGGAGCGGTGACGGAGGTAGGAACTGAACGAGGAGGTTGGGACGGAGGGAGCTGTTTGTGATCACCGCCAAAGACAAACATAGGCGCAGGAAGCTCTAGTGGGGATAAGGCATTCAGATCGTCGGGGAGAGATGCCTCTGGAAAGATGGTGGGGCGTGGAGGTAGAGCCATGTCCAAAGAGGCTGGCTTGTCGTGGAAAGAGAGATCAGATGGCGAAGAGGGACAAGTGATAGTGCTAGCGGGAAGGGGTGATGGAACGACTGCAGCCAAGCATTTCGGAGAGGGTGAAGGTTGACCGGCCTGGTCGACGAGACGAGTCGTAGAAAGTGCTCTCGGAGTAGCAGGAGATGAGGCATGATTCGTGCCTAGTCTAGAAGCCGGCGAGGCTGATCGACTTGCAAGCGGTGTGGTTTGATGACTTCCGCTGCTTGGGCTACCGAGTCGGGGAGAGGGACTCCGACTATTACCGGTTGCTCGACGACGGAACCAGATCGGACCCTCAGGAGCCGGGAAGGCTTTCTTGACCCTCTTTCCTCCCACGAGGCTTCTTTTCGTCTCTCCTTCCGCAATGTATCCGGGGTCATCGCCGACCTCCGGGGTTGAACGACGGGTGATGGGCTCCTTTGTGATTAAGCTGAGATCGCTCGTGGCCTGCACGATATCGAGGGCGGATTTTTTATTGGAAGAAGAGCCAGCAATTGGTCGGACTGGGGAATCTGGTGGTGTCTCGGTTTCGGTCTCCGTAGGGCAATCTGTATCCGACTGCTCCGCGTCCAAGGTCGGAACTTGGTGACTGTCACAGCGATAAGAGAGAGACGCAGGAGGGTTGTAAGTGGTTCCTGAATGAGTGGAAAGCATGATTACAGAGAAATAAAATGAGTGGTAGGGTTAAGAGCTTTTGGTGAGGCGATTGTTAGAGAGAAACGAGGAGCTGGGATGGCTTGGCCCTTTATGTGACGAAGGAGTGAACCCGGCATCCTCTATGCCCGTTAAATGACGACGCTCGTAGTATTTGGCTGCGTCAATCTGACAGTCGTCGACTGGGAGGTGTGGAAGCAAATGGTGTCCATGATGAAGTAACCGGTTAACCGGAAGTCCAAGACTGTTGGTCGGTAACGCAATAACCCCCAGTCAGCTGCATGACCGGGTCAGCGTTTACCGAGGGCCCAAATTCGAACCGATTTCAATGGCAAGCCATTCTTTCATTGGGACATTGAGAAAGATAGCGAATGATGTTGCTGGTGTGATATAGCGAAGGTCTCCGTCGGCCTTTACTTTGCCCCGGACTAACGATTGTTCAACCACCAGACCTACCACCCCATGTCGCTCCTTTTGCAGCTGCGGCAGGAACTAAGTCAACTTCTAGCAACTCTTAAAGCGAATCGTCCGACAGAACGAAGTCTACTCGACAGTCTGGTGGCGAATGT